TCAGTTTTGCTTTTAAGTTATTCAACTTTACACCCGTCTGCCCGTTCTACTAGTAAACTAATCACCCATCACTTCACATTTAAAATACTAAATTTAATAGTAAAAAATATACATACGTATATGCATAGTGTCAGCTATTTATGTACTAAATAGTTATTTAAATGAAAATATGTAAAATTTGTTGGAAAAAAACAAAATATACATAGATTATTATTTCAGATAAATTCTCCCACTTTTTTCATTTTAAACCAGCCCTTAACTATCATCTAAACTTAATATAATCTAAACTTAATTTTGTATATTTTTTGTATTTAAAATGCTTTCTATTATATTATTTAACTAAGCACATCTGTTATACTTTGATTTGTTCTCTTGTTTTGTACCAGCCGTCATTCATTATTTTATATTTTTGCACATTAACATAGTAGTCTACCCGCCTATTTTTCTGGCTTTTTTTAAAAGTTTGCATATTTTTCCTCGATCAATTCTGAGCCAATTTTCACAATTTAAAAAGATTTTGAAAGTCCAATTTTTTCTCTTCCGATCAAATAAATTTTATAATTTTAAACTCTCATTTTATAGGTTAAAATTAATTTTAAAAATGTTATCATCTTCCGTTAAAACGTAAAGAATTTTTAGCTAAAATGAAATTTTAAATAGAGCGCACCCTATTCTATCTAAAGATATTTAATTGAATTTTTCTTTTGAACCCGCATTTTCCGATAAGGGTGCTGGGTTACCCTACCGCAAAAGTCGGCTAATCGTTTAATTTTCTTATTTTTATCTTCGAATAAAAATTTTAAATAGAAATGATGAATCTTCCACCAGAAGTTAAAGTGGATATACTTAAATATTTTAATTTCAATCAACTATTAACTATTCAACAAACAAATAGTTACTTTAATGAATTTATTAATGCTAATGAAAATCAATTGGCACTGAAGAAATTCGTTTATATTCACTTTGTTTGTAAAATTTTATTTATTTTACAAATTTTTACTCTATCTTTGTAGTCTTGTGTAAATGGGAGCTATTTATATAATTATTTGTTTGACCCAGCACCGAAACTTTATGATTTTGAATTGAGTAAAGGATTTGAAGAAAAGGTTTAAAAATGGAATAATTTTTGATTTTAAAATAATTTTAGTGGAAATGTGGAATAGAAAAATCACTCCCTATGTTTTTAATTGAAAATAATAATAACAGTTGCATGATTTTTTACGATTTTCTTAAAAATCGCGAAGAAGGTAAAGTATTATTTAATCTGGGTTAATAAAATGTTTCCGCTTATAAAATTAGGAACATAGACTAACCTTACAATATTTTGGAGTAACAACAAGCCATTTAAATAAAATTACCGTATTTACTGTAATATTAGAGCCCCATGGGGCTCTATTTTTCAACTATCCCGAAAAGGGGGGCTCTAATTAAGACGGGGGGCTCTATTTTTCAACCTATTTTTTCAAATTAAGCATATGTTTTTCAAATTTATTTACAACCTAACTTTTAAATAAAAATTTTAGCACAGAAAAAACAGGGAAAATTTATATTTATTACAACCAATAGTTTTCCTGTTCTCCAAATTCCGGGTATAAGAAAGAAGTATATCTGGGAATTTGTGAGAATTGAGGCATATACATAAGTGGATCAGGGGATTAAGAGCGGTATGAAGTTATTTAGGTGGATTAATTGATATAACATGGAATTAATGAATCTAGTGAGATATAGAGGAATTGGGGCATTCTTATAAAAAGACATTTGCATATTTAAATTTTTGCCCTAAAATCAGCCTGTTTCCCCATACGGTCTTATCTTGATGATAAAATTTGTTAGAGAACTTAAAATTACCGCAGCTGTGGATAATCATTCACCCCAGATTACCGCAGCTGCAAGTAATCATCGAGTTCTGGGTCGATTTCTTTATAACCGGGTTAACCCTCAGCTCTGGGTTCTATTACGCGAGTAAGAGAACCTGGTAAATTTACCAGATTCTTCTATACCATTTTTATAATACGCTATCTACCGATATCCACCTTGAACCTTTGATATCCTCTCCTCATCGTCCGATATATGATATCACTGTATATCCCCTAAATCTCACGATATATTATTCATTTTCTTAGAAACTCAATTTTACTTTTAGACTGCAATTTTAATTTTAAAATCCGCAAACGCAATCCGCAATGACAGACTAGGTTGTAAATTACCTATTTGACATCTGACAAATAGGGGGCTCTGTTAAAGAGGGGGGCTATAATACAGACGGGGGCTCTATTTTTCAACCATCCTCGAAACGGGGGTTTACACTTTAACTTCCTATCGCCTAGCGTATGAATTCTGCTTTTCTTTAGTTGACGTGAATTCCCTTTTTCTGCTTTTTAATCAAAGCCCACTTAGTTTTCTGCAATTTTAATTTTAACGCTTTAGATACTAACAATCTCGAGATATTATTTCCAAACATTCCAAAAAATATTGAAGAAATGAAAATTGCTCGTTATTTATTTCAACAACTTTTTACTTGTGCCTTCGAATTCGTTCATTTTTACCACGGCATAATCAATCCACAAATGGTTGAATTATTATTTGATGATAATAAATTAAATATACCATTACAAATACACTCTGAATGCTCCTATATATACATGTTCAATAGCAACTATGATAATTGTCTTTTATTGAAAAGTATATTTAATCATATGCTTTCTAATGATTTCATTATTATTGGCATCGTTAATGATCAAACATTGGAGACTTTATTTAAATTTGTGACAAATGGTGAAAATAATTTTAATAGAGTTTATTTTAATCAAAACGACTACCCAAAACTTAACGATTTTATTATAAAGGTAAGAGGAATGATTTTTTATTTGGGTATATAGATTACTATATTTTAGTTTTAATTAAATACATAGAAGGGAAAACTAAATTAGATTTCTAGGATATTGTCTTCTAGAGTTAATGGATATTTAGAATCTTCGGAGTTTTTTGTGAGAAATCTCTATAGAAAATTTTTTGGTAATCATGGACAATCCGGGAGACACCTTAAAAACACTTTAAAATCCATTATTTTTTTTGAAAGTAATTCTATGTAGGTAAGCGACCATGCTGAGTCCGAATCTGAGCTTAGAATTTGTTTATTTCGAACCCCGGACCCGATTTCGACCAAGTCGAATTCGGGGTAGAAATTCGAAATTACGATATTATGATCATTTTGACTCGTCTCTTTATTCTGAGTCGAATGGTATCAAAATTATTCAGTTTCGACTATTTTGAGCGAAGTTATGATCAATTAAATAACGCTTGGTTAGACTTACGTATACGAATCAGACATCATAACTTCGTCCAAAGTTGTCGAAACTGAATAATCTTGATACCATTCGACTCAGCTCGAATAGGCGCATCAGATTAGTCATAAATTTTTAATTTCGAATTTTTTACCCCGAATTCGACTTGGTCGAAATCGGGTCCGGGGTTCGAAATTAACAAATTCTAAGCTCAGATTCGGACTCAGCATGGTCGATTACCTACATAAAACTATTTTCAGAAAAGAATATAATAATTTTTAAAGTGTCTCCCGGATTGTCCATGATTACCAATTTTTTAAAATAACTTATCTAAAAATTGATTTTATATTCTCATAAGTAAGGCTGTGATTTATAGGCAAATGCCTATTTTTTCTGCAAGCTTGGGATGATGTAATACGTTCAAAAAACGTGTTTTTAGCTTGGCCCGAAGAGTCTAGCATGACTTTTAATTTGCCTATTTCTGCCTATTTTGGACTTTTTGTGCCTTCTTGCCTATTTTGAAATTTTTGGTACTATTTTTGCCTTTTTTAGCGATTTTTTCGAAATTTTGCCTAAAAATCAGTGCAAAATCTAAAAAAATCAGTCCAAAATTGGAAAAAATCAGTGCCAAGTCCCATTATTGATTTTTAGTTCGTTAAATTGTTTATTTTTACGCTGTTGGACATTTTTAACTGGGAAGATTTGGTTTTGGGACGTTTTGGGGTGCGGCGTTTTGTGTGTTGGATGAGATTTCCATTTTGTCAATTATCGACATTTTAAAAAAATTTAATCTATTTTTTTCAAAAAATGATTCAAAATGTCGAATAAATGGCAAATAAATGGCAAAGTTTAATAAATAGTTTATAATTTATAAAATGACGATTAAATGGTTATTTTTTTGTTTTTACCTTAATTTTATAGGCCTGATAACCTTTTTTAAATGCCTATTTTTGTGCCTTTTTTGGCTTTTTGATGCCTATTTTAGGCGCCTATTTCACTAATTTTACATGCCTAACTATCACAGCTTTACTCATAAGATTCCATGTGACTTCTACCATCTATCTGACATTCTACCATCTCCCAATTGTGGCTGTAATTCGGGGTGGTGCACTAATATTAGAGATTGTATACTGTATTTACTCGATTAATTCCCATGGGGAATTATTTTTTCAACTTATCCGTAGCATGGGGAATTATTCAAGGGAGGGGGATTATTCGGGTTTTGAAATTTAAACGTGCAGTAGGGTATTTAGGGAAGGGGGATTTTGTTTCAACTCATCCGTAGCATGGGGAATTATTCGAGAGAGGGGAATTATTCAAGGAAGGGGAATTAATCGAGTAAATACGGTAATTTAATTTCAGCATATAGAAACAGGAGATGTATTTAAAATGGTGAGGAAATTAATATTCAGTGTTACTCAAAAACCTATTATAAGTAAACATGCAAAAAATATCGAAATCAAAGTTGGAGACAACAATTTAAAATGTACTAAATATCAACTTTCTAATAAATGGGATCCAGAAATGAAGTTTTGTATTTATAATAGAGAAAAAGCGATTTACGTTGGAAGCGATTTACGTCCAGCTTTTGATGTTGAAATTAAAAGAACTAATTGATAAGAAGGGAGAATAATATAAACAAGATTTGTCAATTTCAATAATTACTGATAAGGAAATGATAAAGAAAAAGTGCTAAAATATTTTTCCTATAATTTATTTTTGTTTTTTCTTTTTCAAAATAAATTATTTTTTATGTTAACTAAATTTGTATTAATTACTTTAATAATATCAATTAATTTATTTATTGCACATATACAATGTAGAACACGTTGTGTTCGTGCAAGGGGAAGGGTTATTTGTCCGACTGACCGTAAATGTTAATTAAAATTTAAAATTAATTTTCTGTGTTAGCTGACAGTCATTTTAATGTTGAAGTAAAACTTATGGACAGCGACACACTTCCTTGGGAAAATGACGATGAAATGGGTAATAGCCCTCATAATTTAAAAATATATTTTTTGTTTTAGGTAGAGCGAGTACAGATTTGTTGGGGAATTACACAGTAGAGGGGTGTGCTGGGGATTTTGGTGCTTGGAATGATCCTGACCCGTTGGTTTTTTTGGAAAATTATAGATTCTGAGATTTTTATTTCTGAGCTTAAACTAGTTTACTTCATTTCTAATTTTAAGTTATATTCTTATTACTCATCGATGTCCCGAAATTGGACATGATATTTCTGTAATTAAACGAAAACTAAGGTGTTTTTGAATAAATTAAATATTTTTAAAGAAATTCTTTTAAAGAATTCCAATTAAAGAAATTAAATATCTTCCTAATATAACAACTATTGAAGCATTTGTTGAAACTACTCGTCTTGATTTGGAATGTGAAATTTGTTAGATAGGAAAATATTATTTTTAATTTTTAATCGGACTTGGCAAGGAGGGTACTTATCTGTTATCTCCCCACATTTCCTTCTCTTTTATTTCCTTTGCTCCTTCGATCTCAACTTACTAAGGTCAAATAACGCTATCATTTTACCATGTCCAGCTCTGTGTTTTAGAACCGATACCCATATTTTCCGAACCTACAGTTTCAATAAATATTGTATTCCCATATGTTCTTGCATAGAAATAGAAGGCTAATAAATTTATTTTTCAATATTTTCGGGGTATCGGAAAATATGGATGCAGATTCTAAAACACAGCTGGGTACTTATCGTTATACAGTAAAACGATAGCTTTACTGACTTTGACAATTTTGTAAATTTAGGCAGAAGGAGCGCAAAGGAACTAAAAGAGAAGAAAATGTGGGGAGATAACCGATAAGTACTGATTTTGGAATCTATTTATATTTGTCAGGGATGTTATGGGTACCCAAAACTCCAATTCAAAGAAAATTTAGACAAAATCTGACCCGAACCCAGACTTTTTTTTCTCAGCCTAGACATCCCTGGTTTATATCCATGTAATTTTTGAGTCATCCATCTGTGGTGTACAAGTCTGATTTTAATATAAAATTTATTCTTCAAATAAAATTTTTCAAATTTTTTATCAAAACTTTTTAAAAGAAAAATTAAAAATAATCTGTTTAATGGCGTAATTTTTAAGTGGAAATGGAGTGCTTTAAGAAAAAAACTTTTTAAGAGCATTAAAAAATGTGAGCAAAAATGAGTACCCTTTTTTCTGCTAAAGCCTAAACTTTGTTTGTTTTTGTTTGAAGAGAAGTATTGGCTTTGACTTGAAATTGAAATTAATTCTTTTTTTGACAAATTTTAAATGATTTTAATTAATTTACAATTTTATTTTGTTGGGTTGTTTAGCTTTAATAGTTTATTGTTGTTTTCTAATTGTTATCCAATTACTCATAATTTTGAAAAATATCAATTACTTTTTGTACAAACTGTGAGAATATTTTAAATTTATTTAAATGGGGGTTTAAAACACAGATTTGGAGACACGGCGATCGTTCTCCTATTTACATTTACCCGAATGATCCCAACAAGGAGGATGCTTGGCCTAATGGATTTGGTGAGCTTACAACGGTACAAAGCTTTCTTTCCTGATTAATTTCCAATTTTTTAATTTAAAAGAGGGGAATGGCCCAACACTTTAATTTGGGCAAATTCTTGGGAAATCGTTACATTGATGAATTTCAATTCCTTTCTCCTCACTATCGGAGTGAAGAAATATTTGTTATTTCGACTGATACTAACAGAACAATTCAAAGTGCAACTGCAAATATGATGGGGATGTATGGAGGGAGAGGGCGTTGCGGGATTGGTAAAAGTCTCGATAAAAGATTAACTAACGAATGATTAAATTTCCCTGACAGATTACCCAAATTTGGTTGAATGGCCTGCACCCTTCGTTCCCATCCCTATTCACAGTTTTGAGTTTATGAAGGATCCGGTAAATTAATAAAGTTTCCCTTGGAATTTAATAGAAAATTAAAAATTAAGATGGGATATGCCCGACATCACTGCAAGAGAACTCTTGATTTGTTTGCTTTGCTAGAGCAAACACCTGAATACAAACAGTTAAATCGTTCTAGTGCTGTAAGTTTATTATTGTAAAAATTTATTCTCCCTCATTTTCTAATTAAGGCACTTTTATCAAAAATAAGTGAATATGCTGGCTCTCCCATTACTCTTAATAATTTGTGGGGATTTATTGAAACGGTTAATATTGAAGTAAGAAATTCTTTTTTACTTCAGAAAAAAATTTTTTTAATAGAGAACACACGGATTGAGGTCCCCCGATTGGGTACTTCAAATATTACCTAAAGCGTTGGAAGTAGATATGCGCCTCACAGATTTACAAATTGGATTAAGTATTTAATTAGATATTTTTCCAATAAATAATCTGTTTATAAGGAATGGCTTCCTTCAAAAATATTAACTTTCAAATTGAAATTCCTCGAATGATAGGGGGCTCTTTTCTATGGGAAATAATTGAAAGAATGGAGAAAAAGGCGAGTTAGTTAGTTTAGGTGTTAATTTGATATTTGTTTAAATTAAAGATAAAATGTTTGGAAAAATTGAAAAACTTTAATCGAGTTAATAATCGTTTTGGAAGCAATCCTTATTCCGATACTAAAGTTGAAGGAAAGGAATGTGAATGGCTCGAAAGGCTGAAATATTACGCTCACTCTGCTGTTGGTTTTTTAGATAGATTTAATTGAAAATATATAGTTGAGGCTCTATGTAGCTTTAAAATAAAATAAATTTAATTTGAAATTCATTTAAATTTTGTTAGTCATTGGGTTATGAACTATCTAAATGATTTTCTGTTTATGAGATATCGTGCTTAGGGCTTCTCATTTTAAGACACTCTCATTTTTTAGCCCGGGAGGATAAATATGAGGTTTGACAATATAGCCATATCTCAATATCCCGTATTTTCCATTAAGAAGTCTTATGGGTAATTCTTGCGTTCGTACCCCCCAGAGTTGCGTCGTAATTGAAAATTTTTTTTCGTAATCGTAATTCGTAATTTTCAAAAAAAATTCGTAATCGTAATTCGTAATTCGTAATTTAAAAAATTTTTTCGTAATCGTAATTCGTAATTCGTAACTGAAAAAATGCCGTAATTCGTAATTCGTAATTCGTAATTTTTCAAAAATATTTAAATTAATTTTAAAAATCAAATATCTATTTATAATTGCTGCTTCTCCCATTAATCTCTCCAAGTCCTCTTATTTCTCTGATATTATTAAAATCCCAATTAATTCCCTGATATCCCTCTTAATCCTAATAATCCTCCGATATCTCTTTAATCAATCATGCGGAATCATCGTCCCAGATTAAGCTTGATATCATGTCAAATCACTCTCACTTAATCCCGAGCTAACACTCTTATATTTTCAGCGCCGCAGGCGAAAATTTTTAGAAAATCATGACTAAATTAAAAATTTTTAAGTTTTTTTCAATTTTAAGATATTAAAAATGTAAATTTACAAGCCTAAAATCAAAATCAAAGTTTAAAAAATTTATTTTTGAAAAAATTAATTGTCTAAATGTTATTTCCCACACATGGATCCGAACCAAACCTAACAAAATATCAAATAAGTGAAGCTTGACTTTTAACCCACTCAACCACCGATAAACAAAAGTAACTGTGAGAGAAAATATAAATATTTCAAATATTTCTTCCCCTTCTCATTCTAAAATTTAATGGCAAAATTATTTTCGTAATTCGTAATTTTTCCCTATATTTTCGTAATCGTAATTCGTAATTCGTAACTGAAAAAACGCCGTAATTCGTAATCGTAATTCGTAATTACGACGCAACTCTGGTACCCCCCCCCTTCCTTTTTTTCCTTCCTCAAAGTATTAAAAAATGGTCAGTCTGATATCAGATAATAATAGCTCGAATGAGCTATTATTTGTTTAATCTAATTTTTATCCCAAAAAATCTGCTATACCCCTTTTATTTTTCAATTTTCTGGGGTCTGTATCTCGGCCCAAAGTTAAGACTGGGGGTTGATTTTGGTGTCATTCGACACAGCTCGACGAGTTCTATAATCTGATATCAGACTGACCATTTTTTAATACTTTGAGGAAGGAAAAAGGGGGGGTACGAACGCAAGAATTACCGTCTTATGCTCCTATCAGTCCCGAGGGTGAAATCCTAGTTAGATCCATATAGAATATTTTTAGCATGATATGTCCATATCTGCATTGTTTTCTACCCTTCAATTTGATTATACTGATTTCGACCGGGATGGTCTGCCTGGTTATGCTGCTTGTGTTTTGATTGAATTGTGGAGAAATGTTGAAAGAGGGTATTATATTAAAGTAAATTTCTATATTATTCTCTTTTTCAATTCTCTATTCGATTTTGAAGGTTTTATATAGACGAGATAATGTTGATAATTTGATAAATTTAACACCTTATATTCGCGGCTGTAATGGACAAGAGTGTAGTTTGGAGTTGTTTAAACAACGTTCTCTGATTTTTAAACCTCTACCAAATCAGGAGACGGTCAGATATTTAATTTAACTTGATTGTTGTTAGGCAAGGTTGGGTTCTCTTCCTCTTCGGTTTTTTTGAAATGCGGCAGGGCCCTGCTGACATGAGTAATTTTGTATTTTCATATAAAAATTAAAATCAATCTAGCTGGCCATTAAGGATTCTTGATATCCCTTAATAATACTTTCATAATATGTATACTATTAATTACAGTTATGCAAAACACCTCTTTCACAGAATATATGGAACTCAAGTAGTATGAGAATATTTAGAAATAAAAATCCAATATTTAATTACTCTCTTATTATCATTTTATTTTTCATTTTAAATAAAATTAATTTCTAATAAATTTATTGCTTAACAGGGCTCCGATCTCGAATTTTTAAAATACCGCAATTTTAAGCTAAAATATCAGCATTTTTTGGGGAATTTTGGAGGGCCATAAGAGTTAAAAATGAAATTCTGTTCTAAAAACTACAAGAAAAAATAAAATATCCTTAATATTTTTACACCCTTTATAATATGTTTGGTTTCGTTATTTCTTTAAATTTTTCTGTTTCGTTTTCTGTTCTTGTGTTAGACAATAAATATAGTTTAAATTTTATTTTGTTACACATTTAGTAAAATTCTTTCCATTGAATTGCCTCGCCTTTTGTCTAATCTAAACTTAATTTTGTATTTTTTTGTATTTAAAATGCTTTCCATTATATTAACTAAGCACATCTGTTATACTTTGATTTGTTCTCTTGTTTTGTACCAGCCAGCCGTCATTCATTATTTTATAAATTTGCCCATTAACAAAGTAGTCTTACCCGCCTCTCCCTTCCAACCCCCCATTAGCTTCTCCTGGGGCAGTATAATTTTACAAGATTCTCTTACCCGGGTAATAGTCCTTTCTTCTTTTGTAATGCCCCGATTTTATGAAAAAAATTCTTTTTATTTTTTAAAATTCTTTTATCTCCTTCTATTTTTTATAATTTTACACATTTGTTTTTCTAAAAAAATAGTTATTCAATCAGCTAAAAATATGTAAATATAAAGCGGAAAAAAGGGAAAAAATATACATAGTAGTCACATTTTTGTTTAAAAAAAGGAATTTGTATTTTTGTAATTTATGTAGCTTTAAATGGTTCCATTTAAAAAATTTCATTTTTATTTTTGCTAATTTTTATTAATGAATGCGAAAAAGAATTTAAGAAAAAAATTTATTTAAAAGATTCTAAATTTGCTATTATTTTAATTTTTTTAAATTTATATTTTATTATATTTGTTGTAATTAGAGGTCGGTAAAATCGCATTTGCAGGATCCTGTAACAGGATTGGGTTTTAAAATTTCGAACAGGACAGGATCCTGCAGGATTAATCCTGAAAATCCTGGAATCCTGACAATCCTGAAAACTGAAAAAAAGGCAGGATTTCGGACAGGATCCTGAAAAATCCTGTGCGGGATCCTGTCCTGTGCCGACCTCTAGTTGTAATTTTATCAAATTAAGAATATTTTTTGTCTATTTTTTATATTTTTCCAATCACAGTTTATGAGTCAGATCAGATTTTCAGACATATTTACATACAAATATTTGAATTTTCTTACATTTTCTCAATCTCAGTCCTGTTTTATAGAAATATTTCTGTTATTTTAGGTCTCTTATTGGATAATAATGAAGAATTGAGAAGACACGTTAAAAAAATTTTTTTTGAAAATCATTTTGTAACGGTAATTGACGATGCTGATCACGAATCTGATATCAGATTTTGCCAAATATAACATTTTTGATTTTTATATAAGTTTTTTAATAAAATGCAAGATTTGTGCATGTATTTGGATGAGTTCCATTGGAGACAACCGTTTGGTAAGAAAACAAATGCAGTTTTTGATATTGTTTTAACCCAGATATCAACTTATTATCCACTAAATAATTTATCTTATATAAAAATCAAGTACTTTGATATAAAATTATAGATAGAATGTCAAAAATGACAAAATCTGATGTCAGATTTATGATCAGCAGTGTCAATTACCTTACAAAATAATTTTCAGAAAAAAATAATTTTTAAGGTGTTTTCCCATTAAGGTTGTCGGATATCCGGATCCGAAAAAAGACCGGATATCCGGAAATTTTCGGTTCGGATACCGGGTCCGGATATCTGAAGATTTCTAACTATCCGACAACCTTACTCCCCAATTCTTCACTATTACCTTTTATCGAGCAAAAAATTTTAAATAAAATGGAATCTCTTCCAACTAAATACTAATAGATATACTTAAATATCTCAATTTCAATCAACTATTATCTGTTCGACAAACAAATAGATACTTTAATTGTCTTATTAATGATTACAAAAATGAATTGGCACGGAAGGAATTCTATAAAATTAAATTTGTAATATAAAAATAATTTTATTTTTCAAATTTTTATTTTTCAGTTTAAAATTGATAAAGAGTCTATGTATACTTATAGTAATGTATTTGAACCAGAACCTTACCTTTATGAATTTGAATTGAGTGAACAACTCGAAGAAAAGGTTCAAAAATGGAATAATTTTTTATTTTAAAATAATTTTAGTGGAAATGTGGAATAGAAAAAGGGATTTCTATGTTTTTAAGTGACAATCAGGAAAGCATATATTCATTCTCTTGTGAATTGACAAAAGAAGATAAAATAGGGAGTTTATGTAAGTTACCGTTTTTAAATTTAGGAAAAAAGGGTGAACACTAAGCTGGCCAAAATTAAAATTTCAATTATGGACAAAAGGAATTTAGGTAATTCTTGGGTTCGTACCCCCCCCCTCCTCTTCCCTTCCTCAAAGTATTAAAAAATGGTCAGTCCGTCTTAAGTTATCGATCTCGTCGAGCTGTGTCGAATGACACCAAAATCACAGATTTCGGTTCCATAAACCTTTTGGCTTATGGAATCGAATACCCGATATTTGCGGACAAAATCTGCGGATAAGCTTTGAGAATATTGATTTAAAATTAGTTTTTAAATAAAAATTATATTTAGCGATTACTTTACATCTACCAAACTTTCCAAAAACTATTGAAGAAATGAAAATTGCCCGTTATGTATTTCAACAAATTTTTACTTGTACCTTTAAACAAGCTAATTTTCATAACGTCATATTTAATCCTCAAATGATTGAATTGTTATTTGATGATAATATAACAAAAATGCCTTTGCAAATTCATACACGACAGGCCTGGCTGCTAATTTTCGCTGATTACTATGATAAGAATCTTTTATTAAAATGTATCTTGCATCATATACTTTCCAATAATTTCATTCCAATTTTTCATTCCATCAGAAGTGATCAAGCCTTCGAAGTTTTATTTAAAATTTTGACAAATGGAGGAAATAAATTTTCTAAAGTTTCTCAATCAATGGAAGTTTATTTTAAACAAGATTTTAGAGAAGATTTTAAAGAAGATTTTAGAGAATATTTGAGAGAACACTCAGAAAACTTGACAAAACTTTACAATCATCTTATTGAGGTAAAGGGATTTTCATATATTTAGTTACATATATAGACTATATTTTAATGGGATCCAGCGAAAGGGAAAACTCTATTTATTTCTAGGTTCTTGTCTTGGTTGAGCTCTGGGCCACATAATTATATTTGGCTTAAATTGCCTAGGCATTTTGATCCGTTAATTGATATTTAGAGATCCCTAAAGTCAAATATGTTAAGGGTAATTGTGTATTTCCTATAATAAGTCCACTTGGTTCTATTTTTTACCACCTTTCAAGTAGAACTGTATAATTCATAGTGGTGTCTATTAATGAATCATTGTAATTTACCTCATTTTAGCATATAGTAGAAACAGAAGACATATCTAAAATGGTGAAGGAATTAGGATTCTATCTTGAAAAAGAACCTACTATTATAAGTAAAAAGGCAAAAAATATCGAAATTAAAGTTGAGGTTTATGGCGAGAATGATTGGTTTTATATAGGAGGTTGGGAATCGTTTTCTTCATTACTTTCTTCCTCCCTTGACATGACATAATGGTCAGCATCTTCCTTGTTCAGTTCCATTAAATTTGTCTGTGGCATAATCAAATGAGAAATGATAAAGAAAAGGATTAATTTTTAAATATTTTTTTCCTTATTTTCATTCCTAATAGTCCGAGTTTCGTTCGTGTTTTGTCTGTCCGTCCTTGTTTTGTAGTCCGTGTGTGTGTGTGTGTGTTTGTCCTCTCATTTGAATATGCCACAGGAAAATTTAATGGAACTGAACAGGAAGAAAATGCTGACCATTATGTCGTGTCAAGGGAGGAAGAAAGTAATGAAAAAAACGGTACTATGCGTTTATATCCCCACAATTCCGCAAATGTTTGTCCGCATTTTTTTCATTCTTTCTCCTCATAAAGGATTAGAAACGGTCAAGATAACCCTCATTTTTTCTTTGCCTTCTTTCTCCTCTCACAAAGATTAAAATGTTCAAGTAAAAATAGAGGAAGAAAATATTCACTTATAGAAAAATATAAAGGTAAAAATAAGAGAATAGTTAGTTTTTCTATAAGTGAATATTTTCTTCCTCTATTTTTACTTGAACATTTTAATCTTTGTGAGAGGAGAAAGAAGGCAAAGAAAAAATGAGGATTATCTTGACCGTTTCTAATCCTTTATGAGGAGAAAGAATGAAAAAAATGCGGACAAACATTTGCGGAATTGTGGGGATATAAACGCATAGTACCAAAAAAAAACGATTCCCAACCTAATTTTATGTAGGGCCTGAGTATTTAAAGTCTACAAAATATCGACTTTCAAATGAACGCAATCCAGAAATCAAGTTTTGTGTGGATGTTAGAGAAAAGAGAAAATTCTATCCATGTCGAGGTTTTCATGTTGAAATTAAAAGAATTAATTGATATACCTATATATTTTTTTATATTTATTTAAAAATAAGCAAGTTTGAAATAAATTTGAATAATTAAAATAAACAATTTTGGCTAATTTAGCGTTTTAATATTTTAAGTTTTATGATATTCGGTGAAAATCGCTGATAAGACTATAGATTATTTGACTAACAGAATCGAAAAATTATGGTCAATCTCCTAGTTGAACGCAGTGCCCCATCCTGAAGCCTATAATATTTATTTAGGCAGGGCCGTACAAAAAATTACGGTTAAATCGTGATATTTTAAAAGAAGTTGTAGGCACTAGAGATCGGACCAAACAAATTTTTGACGTCGGAAAAGTAAATATTTGATCAGATTTTCTTTGATCATATGTTTGTTTGATGAGTTTTATAAGTTATGAATTATTTGATCAAATATTTGATTTTGCCGTCTGGCCGATCTCTAGTAAGCACCTGTATCCATGTACGTGGTGAGATAACGGCCGGGAGGTCGCAGGATCGATGCCTGCTCGGGGTTAATCTTTTACCTCTCTCTTACTATTTTAATTGCTTTCCTTAATTCGTCAATTCTTCTTAAAGATTTGTAATAATTATTTGTATACAAATTTGGATACTTAAATTGTACCCAACAATGAAGAACCTTCTTTGTAATTTTAATTATTTTTACTTTCCCTTATTCCTAACAACAATCTATATTTTTTAGGATCCGCAATCACACACACGCACACAAATTGTTTTAGTACCGACATTTATTTTTTCCAAAAGCAGCTCTTCCCTTTTTTTACCTACCAGCTTTTTCCTTCCCCCCCCCCCCCAAACACCACAACAATCATTCTTTTTTTATCCATCCACAACCCAAACGATCGCTAACAACATTCTCCTCTTCCGCTAACAATTAAAAAGCTTTTCTATCCAATAAAATAAATTTTTAATTAAATAAATTTATCAATTAATTGAGATATAAATGAATAATTTAATAAATATTTTATCCGTTTCCTTTGCTCTTTTTGTTATTTATCAGGCTTTGAATGCTCAAAGTTTGTTTAAAAAATTTTTAGAAAATTAATTTTTCTAATTCCCCCATTTTTCCCCTCATATATTAGGACAGGACCAAATTATTGCTGATCTTGGAAGATTAATTGTTGAGAATTGCCCACCCATGCTTTGTACTGGTAAATTAAATTGAATAATAAATTGATAATAAAATAAAGGATTGGATTGCGCTGTCGTCACTGAACGAAATGGATGTCAAGTAAATTATTAGAGTCCTATTACCTTTTCCTTTAATGTTGCTAAAAGTACCAAGGGTGTTGATAAGTTCCCCCCTATATATCTAATTTTGATAATATTTTTTCAAAAATACTTTCGCATTAGACTCCAATATTTTTTTTATCAAGTTTGCAAATTATGTATATTTTCCTAAAGAAAAATCCGAAGAGAATTCGACTCGGCATGTATTGTAAATATCTTTCTCTTAAATCGAGAATATTTTATTACCTTAAATTATTAAATTAATTTCCGAATTAATGAAATATTAATTTTTAAAATAAATTTACACTAATCTTACCGCTTATAATTTTGAGTAATTAAAAAAACTTTAAAAACCCCCTTAAATAAAAAAAAATTAATTAGCTCTGTGCTTGCCCTATTGGATCTCCAGCCCGAGGTTGTGACCCAATGCCTTTTGTCCTTTGGCATGATTTGATTGTTAACGGTTGCCCTAATGTAACGGTGAATACTCGTGATCCAGCGCAAAAAGTTCATCGCTGGTTTAGAAGGGTATAGTTAAATATTTTATTTAATTCTACAGTCAGACTTAAATTTTAATAAACTCAAAATACTCCTTAATTTAGGAAAAATATTTTAAAATTTTTTCGGCTTTATTAAAAGGTTCGAGATCATTTCCAAGGGAGCAGGCCACTGTAACACCGAGCTATAACTTCTTTCAAAATTATCGAATCCAGGACGCCCTCGTATGGTTCGATACGTCCAGACGAGCTGAATCTAAATATACCAGGGCGTCCCGGATTCGATAATTTTGTAAATTCCTAAGGCTATGCAGTAGGCGGCGTGTTGTAATGGCTAACACATCAGTCCGGTCTACTGAAGATGCTGGTTCGCTCCCAGCCGCCGATTAACCTTTTGGGGACACGCCCATGTAGGCGCGCGGCCAAGTAGGCGCAAAGCCATAACTACCTGAAAAATTGATGGACCTTAACAATTTTGGTACCATTCTCTTTAGCTCGATGAGAGGAATCGTTTAATACCAAATTTAGTAAGATTCGGAAATTTTGAAGCAAGTTATGGCTTTGCGCCTACTTGGCCGTGCGCCTACTTGGGCCGTACCCAACCTTTTGCACTAACTAAAGGAGAGAAATACTAACACTAAATATAGCCCAACTGCTTTACTTATTATTTTTACAGAAGTTTTTTTTAATTTTAGGTCAACCGATTCACAAATACCGATCAGTGTGAGGTATTTCATACTAGCATTTTTTTCATTTAAACATTTATTTTAAATTAGCCTTATATTTTCCCTTATTGTTCTGAACTTGACTTCAATTTGTGGCGTTCACCTCGCACCAAACAAGAATGTGAACTGGTTTGTAGTTTTTACTCCTTTTCTTCAAAAATATTAAATTTTAAGTATTGTTATTCTTCAGAGGAACAACGAAAAAGAGGAGGATCTAATGTTGTTTAAATTTTGGATTTAATTTTTAATTTAAAAATATATTATTGGTCCCTTTTGTTATAAAAAATAGAATGATTATTTTGTAATCTAATGTATTTTTTCGGTTATAAGGTACTGTCGGTAGCTACAACAAGGGCATTGAGCAATTTGTGACCTAGGAATCAAAAGGGTTTAAGAGAGGTATCGGTGGATTTGAGGCGATAGGAAAATATTGGGGATATGGAGAAATAAAAGGATATCGGGTAAAACTGCCTAGTAAACTGCCATGAGGCTACAGGCCTGTCAAGTCTAAACTTTTAACTCTCTTCTAAATTTTGAATTTAAATATGGAAAAAACGGAAAAAACATAGGAAGAAAGCCATAACGTCGAGGATAAAGTATAGGCAATTTTTATTAAATATTTTAAATTTGTAGAAAAATTTTTATAAAATTCCTATTTTGGTTATTGATGGAATAAAGGACGTAACAAACTTATGTATAACCCATAACCCCTACAACTTTTGAATTTCGCCTAATATTTTTTAAAAAATATTTTTTAAGGCTTTTAACTAAAAAAACTTAAAAAAACTCTGAAACTTTCAAAATTCCAATTATTTTATAACATTTAATATTAAAAAAGAAGCATGAGTAGCAATGGTGGCCTTATATTTTTTGGACATTTTCTCTTTAAAAGTTTCTTAAAATCCTATTTTTATTTATTTTTTGTCTAATTAATTCATACAAAAAACAACAAATTTTAACTCGAAATATACTTTTTCTATCCTCGAATATTCCTCTACAATTTCAGATAAAGATGCTCAACATCCATACTTGCCTTGCCCTCATCGATATTAGAACCAGTCACCTAACAAATTGGAAATTTTTAAAGAAATTAAAGAAAAATATGTGAAATGGAAAGCCTGATTCCTAATTTAAGTAAAAAACGGTAATAAAAAATCCAAAAATTTTTTTTAATCTCTTGCCCGGAAATTTAGGCATAAAAAAGGAAATTTAGTAATTTCTGGCTAATTCTTCAGATAAAATTCGGGAAACCAAAAATCCTGTTCTTAAACGCTGCACAAGAAATTTACAACCCTAATAACCTCCCTTTCAATTTCTTCTATTTTCTCCCCTGTTCTACTTCTGAAAACTAAATCAATCAAAAATTAATTTTAGGATAAAAATAAAAATATTTACATCAGGACTGAACGCAATTGAAAAAATTTTCCGCAGCCGCAATCCGCAAGTCAAAAAAAAACACGTAATCCGCAATTGCGTCCAGCCCTGATTTACATTCTCATTTTAATATGGAATAAAAAAAAATTCCAAATCTTCATAAAAACTGCAATTAAACGTCATAAATGTATGACGAATAAGTATCCCCATAAACTATTTTTAATTGACTTAGCTTTCAGAGGAAAATAACGAAAAATAGAGAAAATCCCCAAAATGTTAAAAATAAAAAATATTTTGAATTAACCTGCATGATAAATTCAGACTCCTTCCTTTGATTTAATTTAGCTTTCTCGTGCTCCTGTTCAACTTTATGAATAAGTTTCTCAGCCTCCCATTCACGAATAAGTGCATGACCACGAGCAATTTGATGGAAACGGACATAGCCATAACTAAAAATAACAGAGATTTTCTTTTGTTTTTGTTTTTATTGAATATTAAAATGGATATTGGTTAGAAAAGACGGAAATTTTCAACTTTAGGGACTCATTTTCTGGTAAAGGTGGAAATTAATGGTCCCGAAAAATGAGGAAGAAATGCTTTTTGATATTTTTGAGGCTTTCCAGTAGGTAATCAAGTGTGCTGAGTCCGAATCTGGGCTTAGAATTTGCTTATTTCGGACCCGAATTCGACCAAGTTGAACCATCAGTTCTTCTCTATTTTTCCTTGTGTTACTCCAAACTAAATCAATAAAAAAGATCAATTTTGAAAATCAACAAAGGGCAGGGAAAGGAAAATAGGAAATAAATGAAAGTAAAGTCCTCTATGAAGCTTAAAATTCCCATAACTTTCTACAAGTCCAAATTAAAAAATTAAAATATTTAGCTAATTAAACCTTGATTAACAAATTATTTTCAATAAAAACATAAATTACATTATTCCAGCGCCAAGAGCAGTCCAGCGAGCAAAACGAATTAACGGTGAAACCTGGATTGGTTCAGGAAGAATTATATCGGTCGGATGCGGCTTTGACATTTTTAAAAATAAATTTTATCTGAAATTTTAATTAACAAAAAAATGTTTAGATTTCCAGTAAATTTCTTTCTTTCTCTATGTTGTCTCTCGCTTTTTTGAGTAAAAGAGACTAGAGTCTGACCCAATTTTGGGATACAAATTTTTTTTAATTCTCGGCCAATTCGAATGATTCTTAAGTAAATCCAAATAGCTGAATATGACGATTATTTTTACTAAAAGATTAATCTATCATAACATAAAAATCATAGTCATCTAAAGATCGAAACGAACTTTTATCTACCTTCAATTTTCAATGTGATCAACTGGTCAGATCAAGCTTTAAAGAATAATAATCATATTCAGCGCTCTTAATTAAAAGAATTATTCAAATTGGCCAAGAATTTGAAAGAGTTATAAAACGGGGCCTAGCATCTGAATGGATGTCTTCTACACGAGAAAAAATTGAAAGACTGACAAATAAATTTCGTTCAAAACGTCTTGTATAATTGCAGCTGCCAAATTTAAATAATTTTAATTAAATAAAATATTAATAAAATGAAAAATAAATTAAAAGAAATCAAATAATCTAGACAAATTCATTTGCAATCTAAATATTGCCTTTTGAGAGCCGGGATCAGTTTGTGTCGTTTTTTCTTCTTCCAACGATTTTTGTTTGTTTAACATGCCAATTAATGAAGAAATTAACTGGAATGGAAAAATTGGTTTAAATAAAGTCGAAATTAATTTTTAGACACCCTCTTAGAGTGAAAAATTTTATCTTATAATGAGCCAGGGGGTTTCTGAGGCTATAGTTGGAAGCTGTTAATTGGAAGCTGTTTAATTGGAAGCTGTTTAATTACCCAAGTTTAAGATTTCAGATAAAAAATCAATACGCCGAAATGGCACCCGCAAAATCTGAATTACAACAAGTAATGGACAAATTGGCTGCCTTAGAATCAAAAATCGATAATAACAACATAAAATTTTCCTCTTTCTCTAATGAAATTCTTCAAATCAAAAATGCTTTAACAACAATTGAATCAAAAATTCAAACAGTTGAAACAACAATTGAAACAAATTTTAAAAACAATGAATCATCAGCAAGCGAACAAGAACGCAATCGTTCTATTGTTATTATTGGACTACAAGAATCTAAATCAACAACGCCATCAATTCGTGTTGCTGAAGACAAGTCTGCAATCGAAGATGTACTCAACTTGTTGGGGGTTGAGAGCCCATTCGTTTCGTACAGAATGGGTAAGCATGACCCAACTGCTAAAGGTTGTCGTTTAATAAAAATTGTTTTTGGCGCTTCAAAGTTTCAGCGAATTTCACTTGCTGAATGGAAACGACACAGAGTGGAAATGAAAAAAGAATCAAAATGGTCTCGTTTGTTGATCAGGCCAAGTCTTACTAGAGAACAATTGGAAGCTGAAAGAATTGAACGTGCTAAGAAACGAAATGAATACAATAAAAGAACGAGTGCAAATGTGACTGAAAGAACAAAAAACCTTTAAGAGGTCGTCCAAGATTCAAGGTTTTAAAAAACTCTTTAAATATTTCCCCTTTTTATAAATGTCTATATTTTAATAGTAGGAGCTTGGTTAACAAATTAGATGCTTTAAGATTACTTTTACTTTCCAAGTCCTTTAAAATAATTTGTATTTCCGAATCGTGGTTGAACAAAAAGATCGATAATTCCCAAATTTTACATACTTCACCTTATTCCATTGTCAGATGCGATAGAAGTTCTAGGGGCGGTGGTGCTTGTATTTTAGTAGATAATATAATTCCCTTCTCTCCCGTTAAAATTCCTAAAAATAAAAATTCCGACATTGTTGCCATAGACATTTACTCCCCCAAATTTGACAAATTTCGAATAATAACCGTATACCGTCCTACCACAAACGAAAATTTTAAAGACTTCCATGAACTTCTTGATACATTAAGTTATTTAATATCTATTAATCATAACTACATAATCGTAGGTGACTTTAATTTCCCTAATCTAATCTGGAAGACCAACATACCACTCGCTCTCAACCACAAATCACCTTCTGAAAAATTATTTATCGAATTTATAGAAAGCTATAATCTATTTCAAGAAATCTCTTCCCCAACCAGACAAGATAACTATCTCGATTTACTTTTTTCCTCTTCCGCCTTTCGCGTTGTAAAAAATATTACCATTAATGCCCCCTTTAAAAATTCTGACCATAACACCATTGAATTTAACTTAAATTTTAAATATTTTCCCAAAAAACCAGAATTTATACTTGACTTTCATAATGCCGATTACAATCAAATTAACAATATCCTAATTGGTTTAAACTGGAATACCTTGTTTTTAAATTGCACTGATGTAGACTCCCAATATACCCTATTTTTAGAAATCATTCACCAAACAATCCGAAATTTCATACCGTTAAAAAAGATCAATAAAGACCTTACTAGATTCCCAAAACATATTCAAAAAATTATCTCATATAAAAATCTTTTATGGAAAAATATTAATAAACCTGCTATACGTGAAAAATATATTCTCACACAACAAAAAATTGATAAAGAAATTTCTCGTTTCTTTAAAAATAGAGAAATCTCAAAATTCAATGATTCACGATCTAGATTTCAGTATATAGGGGCTTTCCTTAAATCCAAAAAATCCAAAATTCCAATATTCAACATTAATGATAGACTTACCATTTCAGACAAAGATAAAGCCGAATGTCTTGCAATACAATTCCAGTCTGTCTTTAACTCTTCTAACTTTGATTCCTCTGATATAAACAATCCAAACAAAAACACATTATCCTTTATTGATATCAATCCAGAGGAAATCTATAGCACTATAAACAAACTCGACAATGTTAATAACATATCACCGGACGGCATTCCCAACATTTTCTTAAAAAACACCGCAGTCTCATTAACCACTCCATTAACAATTATGTTTAACATGTCAATCATGACAAGTAAAATTCCATCTATATGGAAAAAGTCAATAATCCGACCTATTCCTAAAAATAATAATCCTAACGAACCTAAAGATTTTCGACCTATCTCTCTCTTATGTTCAACCTCTAAAATTTTGGAACGAATTATTTCAAATAAATTAACTTCATTTCTTGAATCGAATAATTACCTTCCTGCTTGCCAACATGGGTTTCGTAAAAACCACTCAGTTATAACTCAACTCCTAGAAACCTATAATGACTACACATTAGCTATCGAAAATAAAAAATGTGTTGACGTTATATTCTTCGACCTGGCAAAAGCGTTTGATACTGTCCCCCACGATCGCCTTCTGAAAAAACTATATCATCTAGGTATCACTGGCGCATTACTAAATTGGATTGACGATTATTTAATAGACCGAACTCTTTCTGTTCTTGTCGAATCTGAAAATTCTAATGAATATCATATAACAAGTGGAGTTCCTCAAGGATCAATCCTCGGCCCTATTTTATTCATCTCATATATATTTGATATAATAGATTTCTGTAAGACAGATAATGTTACACCCAAATTATTTGCTGACGATTTAAAGGCCTATACCTGCTTTGATTTTCCAAATAAAAACCACTATTCTCCACTCCAAACATTTATCCAAAAATTCTCAAAATACTGCGAAATAAATGGCCTTAAAATCGCTATCAGCAAATGTAGCTCACTCCACATAGGAACTAAAAATCCCTTCCACCAATACTCTCTACAAAACATAAATATACCAATCATTCCACCCAACGAACCTATTCGTGATCTAGGCATTTATTTTACATCAAACTTAAAATGGGATTCTCACATTAAAATAATAACAAATAAAGCAACTGGAATTTATTATACTCTTATAAGATCTCTTAAAACTAATAACACTCAATTCCTAACTACTTTATTCAAAATATACGTCTTACCTATCCTCGAATTCGGATCTCCTATAATTAACCCTTATTTAAATAAAGATATAAACTCTTTAGAAAATGTTCAACATAAATTCTTAAAAATATTATACTTACGCTCTATGAAACACAATAACAGCCCAACATTACCTAATTATAAAGAACTCCTTGACCTGTTTAAACTTGAATCTCTATCGCACAGACGTTTAAAATCAAATCTTATCCTTTTCCATAATATTATCTCAGGCAAAATTAAATTAAAACATGATAATTCATTCAGCATTCTCCCTACCACTACTAGAGGTAACCCGCATAATTTATTTATACCCTTTTGTTCAAGCACCATTCGGAAAAACTCATTCTTTATAGACATCCCAAACATTTACAGAAAACTCCCAACAGAATTACAAAAATCGTCAATCGAATTGTTTCCAAAGCTCCTAAACAATATTAACTTAAACAATGTTTTATCAAAGCCACTTTCCATTCAATTGCCTCCAGACCTTATATAAAACAATTGATACATTTTTATTTATTTTATCTGAATGTCACGTTTTTATGCGTATAAATTGAATTGAATTGAATATAGCCCCCCCCCCCCCTAAAATAGAGAAAGGGAAAAATATTAGGAGAAAGATGATAGGAAAAATGAAATTTTTTCGCTTACGACCTTCAGTCGTAAGCTTTTTTTTTGCCTGCGGCGATGAAAAAATAAAAACATGTGTACAATAAAATTTGCGTTCAAAACTCCAAAGTAAACGCCAAAATTTTGACGCCCCCTCCATTTTAGCCCCCCCCCCCCTTGATTACGCCCTTATAATGAGATGTACGACTTCCAGTGTCCAACCCCAACATAAAAATTGTATTTTATGAGGATTGGGTGTATCTGCTAAAAGTAAAGTTTAAATGTCTTCCTTCGTTGAAAAAATACAAAAATTTGCTTACCCGTTCTGACCTAATCCTTTCCACCGTTTGCATTGCTCGAATTTCGTCTTTAATTATTTTTTGCAATTTAATAAATTCTGCTTCTTTCCCAGGTTGAATAATCTTAAAAATTTAAATGAAGAATTTCTTTTAAAAAATAATTTAACTGTAACAGCCGTAGTTTCATCTCTCGAAGAAATTATATTTCTA